TGGATTTGAAGAGAAACTTTTTTGAAAAAAAAAACATGAAGTTTTGGAAGATATTATCTCAAAAAGACAGGAAGATAAGAGGTCTAAAATATTAGGGACTAAGGTCCCACATCGGTTATTGGAAGGGATCTCTAGCAATATATAAGATAGATGGGTCACTCCACTTATCACCAATTGGTTTTAAGTTGGAAACCCATAATAAAACCAAAGTTAATATGGTATCAGAGCCCATGATCCACGCAGTCCAACCCGATCCTTATCGATCCAGCCCAAAGTCGGCCCATTGATCTTTGCCCGAACATTCCGAGATTGATGCCAGAGAGCCATCATCTCGAGGGGGCGTATTAGGGACTAAGGTCCCACATCGGTTATTGGAAGGGATCTCTAGCAATATATAAGATTGATGGGTCACTCCACTTATTACCAATTGGTTTTAAATTGGAAACCTATCTAGCTTAACATAAAATATGGAAGACTCGATGAAAGATTTTGTACCTGCGGTTGAAAGCAGACCTTAAGACACTCAGTGTAGTCGCCTGGGGCGCTTCCGCTTGCTCTGCCGTGTACGGTACAGACTGTGCCTAACATATTTTTCCAGTCTTTTACTGCTTCAGGTTTGAGTAAACTCTCTGAATAGTTTCATGTTTTGTTTCCACAGACCGTACATTTGAGGTTTCGGGAGCTTCCGTAGATGACATCAAGACTTTCGAATATACATTCTTAGGAGATATTTGCGGATTTATGGAGCCGTGAAACATGAATGTAGTTTGGATAAAGTGTAAATTACATTCAAATCGAGTAAGAATACGAAGCAAGAATGATGATAGTAAACTGACCTTTTACAGATGTTGAGTGCAAACTTATCATGTTATTATGTCTCATACTAGAGTGTATTTGCAGTACTGGTTGTATCATATTAGTATTACATGAATATAGTACTGCTAAAACAGTTCTAGAGAAAAGGCGTTGCAGTTGCACCTACTGAATTAAAGTTTAAAATGATGATAGATGAATGCAATTGCAGGCAACTATTAAATTTATGAAAAAATAATGTTTCTGTACACCATGTAATATACAAACAACCTCACAAAAACAAACTCGATTTCATTATATATTTTAACTGATTTTTATACTCTGTCGGCTTAAATTATTTGCATAAAACTAAAATTGACAAATAAAGAAATAATAATGACAGGTATATAAATACTAATTCACCAGACTCCCTGGGGACATTAAAAATGACATAATCCTTCATTATCAAATGAATTATACAGTAATTAAAAAACTGACAGCTATTACACCATTGATTCTAATCATGGTAGTCAAATCCTTAAGGTAAGGGTTCATTGAATAAAAATTGAAGTAGTAGTCTTTGTGAAAACTATGTCTATAAGATTGAAATAAGACTTTTTTTGAAATATGTGTTTCAAATGGATTAAGCAAAGTATGCTTCACTTCTCAATTATAGGAGTGTTACATTTGTTGATATCGAATATATTAGATCACTTATTAATTATGCATGTTTTGTGGAAACTATACTTACCAAATTGAATCAGTAAAAAGATGCTATTTTATTGGTTTTAACTTTTAAGGCATCCTTTTTTTATGATATTGAAATATATTAGATCTCTTATGTATGTTATTGCATTTTGATTAATAATATTCACTTGATTTTTGCATTATTAGAGATTCAGTGTACGAAAACAAGTTCACCTTTTAATTAAGATCACTATGAGTTGATTAGATGTGACTATCCATTATCAATGTAAGAACATAATATCTATTATTATATTTTTTTCCCAAAGTAACATATATTCATACAAAAGGTTATAAAAAAATACTATTCTCTAAATGGTTCATTAACTTATGAATAATTTAAAATTCACTTTCTTTACAATAAATTCAGGACCAAAGATGTAGAAAGTGAAATTAATTATATGTACATACTTTTGATAAATATCTTAATTTCTAAGATGGGAAAAAACTAAATTCATAAAACTACAATAAAATGTATATTAACAACTAACCATATATTTAAATTATTGTATTAAAATAATTTAAATAAATAATATTATAAAAATCTGGAGCTATAATAAAATAATCATTCTTTACATAGAAAACTCACTGAGTAATGAATCAAAAAATTACATATCACCATATCTTTCTTTTTTAAATAATTTGAGCACAATATATATTTTCATGGTCTCGGTTTTCTTTGTCAGCTTTCATAATAAATGAAATTAAACTATATTTTTTTCTTTAGTTAAACTATTTTTTTTAAAAAAAAATATGAAGACGACAACTGAAGCTATAAAAACACGAATCAGTAACTTTGGACTATGAAAAACAAATTAAACAACATAAGACATTAAAAATCTTCTTAAAGTATACGCGACAATTCAACTTTCTAGATCCCCAACAACATAATACTAATATTAATACTAACTAAATTTCGACCCGCACAACCGTGCGGGTATTTTAATACAAAATATTTGAAATTATATAATAAAATTTATCAGTAAATAAATATAATATGATTATGTATGTTATCCAATTTTATAATAATTTTTATGTGACTTATAATATTATTAATATGAATTTTATAAATTTGTATTTTTGTAACAATTTTTAAAAACATTATTATGTAAGATTACTAATTTATATATTTTGTTTTACATCTAAATTTGAAATCTATGTAAAAATTAATTAAGTTGGACTTACATAATACATAAACAAAATTTTGGGATATTGTTAAAAGTATTTTACATAATTTTAATTTTTAGTTTATAAATTAAAAATGAAGTAAAATTTTAATTATATTTTATGATAATTAAAATTTTAATCAAATAATTTTTGAAACTATATCTTGAAAAAGATTCTAAAAGATTTTGTTACAATTTTATTAAAACTATTTATTTATATTTCAAACAAAGATTAAAGATATGAAAAGATATTATAATGTTATGTAAAATTTTATAAAACTCTAAAAATGGTCCAAACTAAAATATCACACATGAAGTGAGTCATGACTTCTCTTTTAATATAATAGATACGTAAAAAAATAACTCAAACAAACAAGAAGTCAACACCATAACATCCAACAATAAAAATATTAAAGCATTGAGTTACTTCTTTTAGTTTTAGTGTTTGAAAAAAAAAATTCATAAAGTATTTGTATGCAGTCTGATTCATCTTAATTTCAAGATTATTAATAGTTACGCTACATTTATTTGATTATTTGAAGTAGATTATTTGATATGATGTAGTATAAAACTCAATTAGACTTCAGTTAAAATGTAATACTTCATTAATTTATGAAACCATTAATCTATAAAAAAAATTTCAAATAACATGATCAAAATTTGCAACAGATAATTTGTTATAAAAAAGTTCAACAAATGCTAAGATAATTTATAAAAGATATTTAATAAAACACGAAAATAAATAAAATTTCATTATGAATTGAAACTCTACTATAAGCCAAAATAAACGTACATTATAAAATATCATTTATTTTTAAATAAAATAGATTAATGGTTTTCTATGACATTATTGCAACTATCTATATAGTACTTTAAAATGTAAACTTTTTAAATTTTATCACATTACATTATATTTTTATTGATTTAGCTTAGAGATAGTTTACAATTAGGCCTGTTTAATCTGGTGTTCGGTCCGGTTTCGGTTATTCGGTTTATAAAAATTAGCTACCATATTGGAACCATATTTAATTTGGTTTGGTTCGGTATTTATACTACCGGTTTTCGGTTTATTCGGTTTTATACCAAATAACATTATTATTTGATTTGGTTTCATATTATATGATTTTTTTTTTAAAAACATATTGTCAAAACTATCATTTATTAAAATAATCCTAGGTGTTCATAAATATAAAAATGTGAAATTAACAACAAACAAAACGATCAACGATTCATTTTTGTATAACTTTTCTTATTTTCTCTTTGCTCTTCTAAATAAATTACATGGTACAATCTAATTTCACAATTTCTTACAACATGTAAAATCAAATCAAATTTAGATAATAGTTGAAGAAAATAAAATAAAATTATTAAGATATATCTTCACAAGGTATAAAAAAATAAAAATAAAAAGACTATTCCAAGAAAATAAATGGTTATATAATGTATATATTTGTATTTTTTTTCTTTGATCGGTTTTGTTCGATTTATTCGGTTTAATCGGTTATAAACCTAACCATATCCAAATCCTACGGTTTTTATAAAATCATATCCATTCGGTTTATATGGTGTATACCAAATCCAAACCATATTGTCTATTTCGGTTCGGTACGGTATCACCATATTGAACAACCCTATTTACAATATAAAGTAGTTTTATTTTAGACTCACCCGCCCGTAGGGCGGGCCACCCCTACTTTTCACAATATAAAGAAGATACTAGAAGAACACACAAACATCAAAAATAAAGTCAGGAAAACAAAGGAAGAAGAAAGCTAAGACACTTGTCTGTCTTCTACAGACATACACAATAATACATAAGAGTGTTTACTCAAACACTAACTGACATGTCGCTGACTCTCTGTTCAGTTTCTTTATCTGCATGCGCATCTCATGATCTTTGTCTCTACATCTTGTTGAAAATGTGGCCATCTTTAGCCAAAGAGCATTTGCTAGTATATACGCAGCCACTTTCCTCTGCTGCACTGTGTCTTCATATTGTCTCCATTCAAAGATCTCTAGATGAATCAATAAACATTCAGGAACATCTGCTGGTTCATTCCAAAAGTTCATCTGATCATTGGAAGGGGCACTATGATTCTGAGACCAAAAACAAAACAAAAAAACACCATTACGTGCGTTAGTTTTCGGCATTTGTAGGAACTACCTACCATTGTCATTCTTCTATCTAAAATATAAAATGGTTTAGTGGTATACTAGTATTCTATGAATTCAAGTATATCCATCGTTATGAATCTAATTAACATGCTATTAAAATAAACAAAAGTCAATACTACATACCGACTTAAGCTTGAGAGATTGGAGCCTTGGAGCGTTATTGAGTATAGAAGCAAGAAGATTGGCCCATCCCGGAGAACATGTACATAGCTCTAGATGTTCCAGATAGGGAAAGACAGAGCCACGGCGATATGGAGTCTGCAAATGAAGTATGTTATATATATAATGAGAATAACCAGACATAAAAGAAACATTTTTGAACAAAGTTTTGTTACCTCAGAAGTTGGAGAACATAGAGAAAGATGTTGGATTGAGGTAAGAGATCCAATGAAACTCTCAGATTTGTCACAGATGACCTCAATATTTGCTTTGGTTACCTCGGGCATAAATTCAAGGATAAGAAAGTTACTCACAGTATCCTTAATGTTCAAAGTCTCCAAAGCAGAAGAATTTATCAAAAACCCATGATTCTCCTTCACCTTGTTGTCATCATCGGTATGTTTCTCTCTTGTGTTATTGATAGTTAAGCTCTTCAAAGTAGGCACATTGATATTATAAACTCTGACATTGTCATCTCTGGTTCGGTTTATAACCAAATCTTCAAGAGCTGCACACCTTTCAAAAAGCGTTGCAATAGATTCATCATTCAAGAGTTTGACAGATGAAAGGTGCAGACTTTTGATTGATGACAGACAAGACTCAGGTGGTAGATCCCAAATAATCGAAAAACGATCAGTTTCTCTTACGACCAGATATTCAAGAACCGGACAACTTTGCAGAAGAAGTGTAAGAGAATCACGACTACTGTCGTAATTCGTAGCTAATAAAAGGTGCAGACTTTTTAGTGAGGACAAACAAACCCTAGGACCACCAAAATTCCAAACGTCAAGATACTTGGCTTGGTTTATAACCAAGTATTCAAGATCCGGGCAACTTTGTAAAAGCCTTTTGATAGATGCCTTTTGCGAGAACCTAACGGAGAAAAGGTGGAGACTTTTAAGAGATGGCAAACAGAACCCAAACGGAATATGACTGATAGTTACTTCACGGAGTATCAACGATTTTAGGGTTGTCGAATTATTTAAGCACCTCGGCAATTTTAGCGTTCCCCAGTACACGTCAAATCTCAGCTTTCTTACAGATATATCAACCGCGACTTGAACCCAAATGTTGATGTCGGAAGCAGAATAATTTCGGACAAGCTTGAGATGCAACCTCTCTAGAGTCTGAGTACCGTCAAACAAGAACGAAACGTAAATAAAATTCATGTAAGTCGCGCGACTCTCCTCGTTATCATCTTTGAATGTGACGTCTAGCACAAGTTTCCAAGGTTCCTCGTGACGTTTTGATATGAGACTTCTTGCAACGCTCTCCTTAAAAAACGGAAGCTTTGAGAGTATCTTCAAGAGTAGGTCATCTGGTAACTCATTGAGCTTCTCTTTCACCATGTTTTTGTCTGTCCCGGCGATTTTGGCTGCGCTCTCCATATCCTGGCGTTTTTTATGACACAGAGAAATGAATCCTAGGTTTTACTTAATTAAGTTTAGACTAAACATGTTGGTCCAACTAAACATATGTTATATTTTTATTAAGCTAACTATCATATATAATTAATAGTATATACAAAAGAATATTCTCTATTCTTTCCTTAAATAAAAACTACGTAATTAGTTAATATGATTAACATATATCATAATTAATGATTAAGAATAATAAAGATTTGATAACAATTTTTTATCTTTTTATTTTTTCTTTAATTTTATATTATTAAAATAATTTAAACAATCACATTAATCATAGAATAAAAAAATTCTATTTTTTCTTATATGTTATATTTTGAAATTTTTAACAACAAATTCACTTTTCTAATAATTTTTTGATGATTTATATTTAATTATTAATAGTATAATTTTTATATCTTAATTTAAGTTTTAAATAGGAAAATATATTTTCAACATAATGCATAAAAATTATCTTATTTTAGAAAAATATAAAATTATTAATATAAATTTGTTTTAGTTATATAATAAATAAATCCTTTTTATATTTTAATTTAAAATTTAAGTTTTAAATATAAAAATATATTTCAAGATAAGAACATAATTCACAAGAAGTATCTTATTTCCTAAAAATATTACATATTCATATAAATTCGTTTTATTTATAAATAAATTATACTTAAGTCATATAAATTCGTTTTATTATAAATAAATTATATTTAAATATTTAAAAAATGATAAATAAATACATAAACAAAATTACCTAAATCTTTATATTAAATTTCAATTATTAATTTCGTCCTAATTTATTAATTTTAAATAATTTCCTTCCTTTTTTTTATTTAGATTATTGGTAGAATTCATTGAATATGACAGTGTATGCGTGCATAAATTAATAAAAAATAGGTGTTTTATCCCCATTTTTAGACATAATTATCTTATAAATATTTATTAATTGATGTTTCATTAATTTAAAAATCATCATTTATTATTTATGTTTTCAAAAAATACAAATCAAACATCAAATAATTATCAATGATAAAACTCAAACATCAGAAATATTTAAAAGAATAAATTTCTATAATTATTTTGCTTGATTTATATTCCCTATATATTAATTTTGGAGCATTACAACATTTTTTGGTAGATATGTGTCACAATGAAAATGATTTTCAGAATTGTTAGAGAAATATGTTGGTCCAACTAAACATATTTATATTTTTATTAAGCTAAATATCATATATAATTAATAGTATATACAAAAGAATATTCTCTATTCTTTCCTTAAATAAAAGCTACGTAGTTAGCTAATATGATTAACATATATAGCCCAATTAATGATTAAGAATAATAAAGATTTGATAACAATTCTTTATATTTTTTTTTTCTTTTAATTTTATATTCTTAAAATAATTTAAACAATCACACTAATCATAGAATAAAAAAATTTCTATTTTTTCTTATATGTTATATTTTGAAAATTTTTAACAACAAATTCACTTTTCTAATAATTGTTTAGATGATTTATATTTAATTATTGATAATATAATTTTTATATCTTAACTTTAAGTTTTAAATAGGAAAATATATTTTCAACATAATACATAAAAATTATCTTATTTTAGAAAAATATAAAATTATTAATATAAATTTCTTTTAGTTATATAATAAATAAATCCTTTTTATATTTTTATTTAAAATTTAAGTTTTATATATAAAAATATATTTCAAGATAACAACATAATTCACAAGAATTATCTTATTTTCTAAAAATATGACATATTCATATAAATTTGTTTTATTTATAAATAAATTATATTTAAGTCATATAAATTTGTTTTATTTATGAATAAATTATATTAAAATATTTAAAATATGATAAATAAACAAATAAACAAAATTACCTAAATTTATGGAGAAAATGACAACTAAACAAATTTAGTTCTTAAATAATAGTATAGATATTAAGTAACTTTATCATATAAATTAATTGGACTAATGATTCATTCTAAAATTATGGAAAATGACACGTCAGAAAATATTTTTTTCAAATAATATTATAGATAGATTTAGTTCGTGGTAATGAATTAGCGTTGTTTTGTAATATACTGTAATTATTTTAAAACAAAGCATTAACCGAAACAATCATCCTATACATTAAAAGAGAAGTCACTTGGACACGTGGCACTCATACATGCCTTCTCAGAGAAATTCTGAGAATCTGATTGGTTGATTTATTTTAATTTTCTTTTTTATTTATTTTTTGTTTGGCGTGCAAGTGTTACGATTTATATATGAGAATCGTATCTCTAAAATTTAATGTATAGGTTATTTACTTTCCTTACCTTATATTCGATAACTTGCGTGAGAAGTTGGAAATTCAATGCCAAATATGTCAATCTCATACCATTAGAAAAGCTTGACAATATATATACGATGTCCTAATGTCTGTAGACCGAAAGCAAGTTATAAAACAGCTATGGCTACCAGAAAGTTACGAACAAGAAAGTTACGGTGGGTTTTCATGATAAAACAGAGCCGACACAAATCTCTCAGAAGAAAGGGAGGAAGACGAGAGGCAGAACTCTATTGAGACCAGGCCAGAGAAGAGGGTAACTAAACTAAATGTTGATCTTACTCTATTGGTATATGTTGATCTTTGTCTGTGGTTTAGTTGTACCGGTTGGTTAGATTAAATTGGTTCTGGTTTAGGTTTCCTTTTGCTTAAACCAGCTATATATATAGCTCATATTGTAAACAGAAGAGGTTGAGCTGAATAAAACATTTTCCATAATTCTCTAACTACCTCTCTTCTCTCAACTTCATATTCTTCGTAAACAAGATTCTAAAGTTCTAATATGGTATCAGAGCTCTTTGAGTCTCTTTCATTCCGCTTCGTTACTCTCTGATTCAGCTCCATTTTTCATCGATCATGAGTGTTTTCTTGATTCCGTTACTCTCCGATTTCATCGAACTCCTTTTCTCGCATATCCTCGCCGTCTCTCGTGTTCTTTCGATTCTGATTGTGATCGTTATTCTCCGATCTGCGTGATTCTTGTATCGCGATCTACAGTTTCTTGGATTTTCGATGGCGATTCCTGATTCCAATCCGCAACGTCAAGGTTCTGAATCATCTCCGTTGGTTCAGAATGGTTCTGGTGCTCTTCCGTCTCTCTCAGATCCGAACTCGAATCCTCTCTTCGTTCATAATGCCGATCACGCTGGTATCTCTCTTGTTTCCGATAAGCTTACTGGAATTGGAAATTTCAATAGTTGGCGTAGATCTATGCTTATGGCCTTAGGAGCTAGGAATAAAGATGTGTTCGTGAATGGTTCATATCCTGAATTAGATGAATCTCATCCTGATTTTGGTTCTTGGTCACGCTGTAACAACATGGTTTGCACTTGGATTGTGAATGCGGTTGATAAACCTATTGCAAAGAGTATTATGTATCTGCCTACTGCTCGTCAGATGTGGGATGATATTCACGATCAGTTCAAACAAAGTGATGGTCCTCGCACAGCTGATATTAAACAGCAGATCTATGCAGAAGTACAAGGTTCACAGACAGTTAGTGCTTACTATACTCGGCTTAAACAGTTGTGGGAAGAACTCAAGAATCATGAAGATCCTTATAAGTGTTGTTGTGGTAGTATGGATTGTTCTAGTCATAAACAGCTTGTTAAGCGTGATGAACAAGATCATATTCTGAAGTTTCTGATGGGGTTGAATGCTGACTTCACTGTCACTCGTGGTCACATTCTTATGATGGATCCTAAGCCATCTATTTCGAGGGTTTTCAATCTTATCTCTCAGGAGGAAAGACAGAGATCTATGAAGACTGCTAGCAATGTGACCTTTCAAGCATCTCAAACTGAGTCGTCTCCTGAACCAGTGGTTGCTGCTTATACTGGGGGGTATAATAAGCAGAAGTCTCGTCCTATTTGCTCTCATTGTGGTATTCCTGGACATACAGTCAACCGATGTTACAAACTCCATGGCTTTCCTCAAGGATATAAGGCTGCTACATCTGGTTCTAAGTCCCAGCAAGCCACATCTACTCCCAAGGTTCAAGGAGGACAGCAAAATGTTGCCAGTGTGATTACTCAGGATTCAGGAAGTATTATCATGTGCGATCAACATGGTACTCACTTGGGGTCAGTGACTGCAGAACAAGTCCAGCATCTTCTCAATGCTCTTAACGTAAGTCAACATTCTCAGATTTCAGGGGGCACTATTACTCTTGCGGATGGTTCTTTTTCCACCATTAAACCACAACCTCATCTTACTCCTATTACTTCTTCCCATCCTTCCACTTCAGGTACTCCTTTTCATCAATCTCATTTTGTTTCTTCTGCGGGAATTAAAAACAGCCTTACATTTTTAGAACAATCTTGGGTCATAGATACAGGAGCTAGTTGCCACGTATGTTCTGATTTGACATTGTTTTCTCACACTAAGATGATAGCTAATACTTCTGTGACATTGCCTAATGGAACTCATATTGCGGTTACTATATCTGGCACTATCATTCTCTCTGATAACTTGATTCTTGATTCTGTGCTGTTTGTTCCTAATTTCAAATTCAATCTTTTGAGCATTAGTGCTTTGACTCGTGACACTTCTATATGTGTTTTGTTTTCGTCTAATGCTTGTTACATTCTTTCTTACAATCCTCTATCTTTTACTCAGGAGCATACTCCGGATTACATGATTGGGAAGGGTAACCTCCAACATAATCTCTATGTCCTGGATTCGTATGCTCCTGCTTCTCATTCTGTTGCGCATTTGCATCATCTTGCTCAAGTTTCTTCTGAAGTTTGGCATCAGCGTTTAGGACACCCATCACCAAATAAGATTCAGCTACTTTCAAAATGTTTAGACATTTCTAGAGACAATATTACTCATGATCATATGTGTAAAATTTGCCCTTTAGCAAAACAAAAACGATTGTCTTTTCCCAGTCATAATAATATGTCTTCTTCAC